TTATTTTTTGTTACTTTTTCTAATTGATATAGGGCAGTTTTAATTTTTATTTGTAGGAAAGTATGCTGCGCCCCCCCCTGGGGGTCACGCCCCACAGTTTGAGAACCACTGCTGTACACCAAATTTAAAATAATGATAACTACTTACATTCACAGCTGATCATTTCACAGGGCTCCTCCCCTTCAGCTGGTCCTTCACACCCTGAACTCATACTGCCATGATTACTGGCACTAAGGCAGTGACGAGTCCGTCTCCGCACACCCTGACCACATGTCACTGAGCACCCTGACCAGTCTGTCCAACAGCCCCATTCCCCTGCAAACACAGTTGTGTTACTACATGAAACTTTGAAGCCTGACGCACTTCTACATATTATTTTAAAGTGTACTTCCCACTTCACAGAATACATACTGCATCTCCATTACAAAGACCAGCTGGATACTTCTATTTAGGAAAATAATTGTGAATATGCTGAGAATTGTACAGATCTTACAAACATAATGTGTGGAGAAAATACAGAGATTCCTACTGCTAAAACAAGTGGTAAATATGGTTATCACTATGCTTTGAAGGATTAACTGTGCTCCAACAGCTACTAAGCACATTAGAATTATGAAACTGGCAAAACTCATTAGATGCTGATGGAGTGAGTGATTCAATTAATGGTATCATAACTCTGAGAATGCAATGGACATCAGCTCCAGTCCTTTCTTCAACACAAATTTCCCAGCACCTCACTGCTGGAGCCAGCAAGTTATAGAACTCGAGGTATGATAAGATAATTGGAACAACTGACTAATGTAATATGTTGTCTGCATAAACTGTACAAAACTGACTCAAAGAGGGGAGGTCATGTCTATCAGTCTGCAAACCTTTTCTTTGAAACTACTCAATGGGTTCTGATTAAAATTTTGTACTGGGGATCTGCACTAAAAGACATCCAGAAAATGAAAACCTGCTACATATCACTCTATAACCACTCTTGGACACTTCTCAAGAATGTCCTGAGGCAAAGCATTAAGAGAATAACTCTATTCAACAATACTGTCAGGCATAAATATTCACAAAACATGGTACAAACCTCTGCATTTCTGTGTGTTGCAATTACGAGACATATGTGATGGGCCTTCACACTCCTCGGCTCTTCCCTCACAAGTCCGTGTCCGATACTGGTGACCTCCGCCACACTCTACAGAACACGCTGACCAGTTAGACCACTCGGACCAAATATCATCCGCCTCCCCTCGACCTGGACACAAAACCACAATTTGTATCAGGCGAAAATATACCAATAAATTCTGTACAGATCATCAGAAAACATAGCTTACTGACAGTTCTATGCTCTACTTGGAATTGTAACCCTCTCCATGCTGAGTTTTACTAATTTCCTTCTACTTTAGAACTAAGAAGTGCCAAAGGACATATATGTACAATTGTAACCTACCCTAGTTAATATCAAACTAACTTATGTTGGCTTTGTGGTTCTCCTCACAGTGGTGATCATGAAGTGTGAGCACTCTCCTGGGATGTAGCACTGAGTAGGATGTGTCTATGACTTTAGGTGAGATTCACAGTGGTCACTGGCAATGGAAAAGGTTCTTCCACCCTCTGAATTTCTTTCATTTACTCTGATAATCATAATTCCACCGCTGCTCCATACCCACCTATTACTGCACCCTGAGGTGTTTGACAGCTCAGCCAGTCAGCACATTATCATATCCTCAGTCTTTAACTTGAAGCCTTCATCTCTGACCCAGCACTTGGCTGGTCACAGTGTGAGGGAGGGACTTTCAGTTTCTCATCCACAGATAGCACCAGTGGTGGACTCCTTTCAATAAGAAGTTACAATTAAAATGTGCAGATGAGTATGCTCACCTGTACGGAGACAGGTTCCGTCATTATGACAGAACCTCTCCTCCTCCTTGGCTTGACCCAGTTTAATGAGGGCAGGGTCAGCCACAGGGGCCCTGCAGGAGAATCGGAACCGTTTCTCTGTGCGTCCAGCAGCTGAGGCTGTCACGTTGGCTGTCAACCAGGGCGTCCATGATGACAAACGCTTAGTGTCGGAACAAGCATGTGTGTTGCACTGTTCATAGTCCAAATGGCAACCCTGGCAGTCTTGGCCTCCATCCTGTGGAGCAGGGTTGTCACATCTCCTCCTGCGTATTCTGTATCCTCCCCCGCATTGAGCTGAACACTCGTCCCATGGGCCCCATGACCCCCATTGACCATCACGTGGAGGTAGAGTCATTGCTGAAACATTAAACAAAAATACCCCTCATTTCCCAATGCTTCTGGTGAGCATGCAACATAGTTATGTTTACACAGACAACTCATTTCAGAAACTAGTTCTGCTTGAATCTAGTGACAAGATGGGATACCCAACCCGAAGGGTCCATTGTGATGAGCTAGTCCCAACAATTACTGGTTGTCTTTTAAAATAAACCCAGACATGTGATAATGCTGAGTATAATGAGAAAGAATTCTGTATGATATTCAAGAGGAAAAATATGAGTCAGTGTTTTCTGATATCCACTGTACACTTCACACATTACTATTTGAGGCATCTACAAAAACTGTCTTAATTTAATGAAATATGGTAACCAGTCCCATTGATGTTCCAGTTTGTGAAACACTATTTGAATATTTACACTTAAATGCTGGCCTCCACAATCATTCTAGACAAGCAGAAGTACTGTCCTTCAACCGGGATATGGACACTCCCCTTGCCAATACTGCAGTATACAGTAGCTAAAACTTTAAATAAGGCATACTGCTGAAATTAAGACCTTACAAATTTACTCATGTAATTAAAAAAGAGACTGAGGATGAAGATTTGAATCACATTCAAAAACTCAAAATAGTTAAATGTTGTTATATTTTAGCGTCCTGTTGCACTGATTTAAGTCCATGATTTATTTCACCGTCTTCTAGTGCATACACTTATATACCTCACTCCTCTCTCTCGCACTACATGTTTCGGCACAAAAGTGCCATCTTCAGGTGCTTACTCGATTAACGTTAAACTAGTTCACTGCACGTCTTGTCGTCTTCATATTAAAATAATTAAAATATATATTTATCAATATATATGATAAATGTATATTTTAATTATTTTAATATGAAGGCGACAAGGCGTGCAGTGAACTAGTTTAACGTTAATCGAGTAAGCACCTGAAGATGGCACTTTTGTGCCGAAACATGTAGTGCGAGAGAGAGGAGTGAGGTAGATAAGTGTACGCAAAGAAGACGGCGAAATAAATCATGGTAGTTAAATGTTGATATATGTTAGATGAAAGTTAATGTTAGGGTATCAGAGGAAGTAATAAGGCTGTCTGCTTGCTACACACTGATGTGGGAGAAAATAGGAGACGTTCTTCTTTGGCATTCACCTGGGCATGGTGGGTTTGAAGTGCAGTAGATTTCATTGCGGTCTTGCCCAACACATACTCTTCCACCATGTGCTGGTGCGGGATTGCCACATGTCCGTCGCTGCGTCTTCACAGCTAAACCGCAACTCTGGGAACAGGCAGACCAGCTGGACCAGGCTGTCCATCCCCCATGTACTGTGCAGTTGGTAACAGCTACTGCAATTCCAACACAAGGTGCGCCGCCATTTTGGGGTGGTGGGTTATTACACTGTCTCGACCTGCAGCGGCACTGATCTTCTCCGGGCCCTGATTCTGGGTCAGTTTGGTGAGAACAAGGGAACCAACTTGACCAGCTACTCCACCCACCATCCACTGCAACATACATGACAATAAAATTTCATTTTCGAAGTCTGAATGGTCTAGCTTAGAATCATTACTACCTACTTTGTGCATTCTACACATTTTTTTAAAACCATTGTGTTTCAGAGAATGTTTGCAAGTTAGTCTTCAGATGAACAGGATATGAGAGGAAACCTACTCTTCTGGGCTTTCTCATAGAGCATCTCTCAAATATTTCTGAGTTCAAATCATGATTACAAGTGCAACACACTGTCTGATGATATTTCTGTACACAGCATGACGAGCACAGAGGGATCTGGCTTCCTGTCAGAAGGAGAAGCACTCACCAGGGTCTGTAAGTACAGGACACTGCGTAACACTCTGCTTCCAGTAGTTTGACAGAGGGTCATGGTTTGGTGCTGGCGTGCACTGCTCTTTCAGTTCATTCCATCCGCAGTATGGATCCATGGCATTCTGACATGCCACTCTGCTGTGTAACCTGCCACAGTGCTGCGCTGGTACACGCATCACACTGTCCTCTGTGCCAATGTACACAGAGTCCTGAAAATTTGGTCACAGTTTGTTCTTAGCTTTATGTCAATAATGTGCCCTCAGCTGACAATAAACTTTTCAATTACAAGTCTTCAGGGATGTAACACCATGTCATGTGGTACGTGTTTACCAAATAACATGGTATCACAACCCAGAAAATCATTAATATTCACCACTATAATAACCTCAGATCTCAAATACATGTTTGATTGTCACTCACCGTCTCTCTGAGGTAGTGAAGAGTTTTGATAGCAACGGGACTGTCTCCTGGAAATGGTTTCCAAATCTCCACAACACACGTCTCCTGTGTTCTCGGCAACACTGATATTTTCTTAATCAGGCCATCAGCTGTAGCCACATAAATCACGTGGAGAGCACGGTGCAGTTTTGTGGGCAATACATGGACAGCAACATGGGTCAGTGTCTCCAAACGTCCTGTATACAAAGGCTGAAGCGTGGCCGGTTGGACCGCACTGTCCATCAGTTGGTACCGGTTCGAGTCCAGTAGTTGGTGGGAATGGCTCTGGGGTGAAGTTGACTGGCATTCAAAGTGATGCTTGTGTGGTGAAACGTGGCGTTCCCATGCAGAACCAGGGTGTTCCTGATGTTTGAATGGTCCAGAGAAGGCAGCATCTATGGAGGACATGTTGAAGGCACAGATAGCTGATCCTGGGATGCTGTTGCTATGGGAACAAGAGTTAAATTTAGAAATAACATAAATCTTACATGAAACTTAGAGAGGAAGACAATATTCAAGAAACAAGGTATCTGGGTATGGGTTCGATTGAAGTGGCTCAGGAAAGGGTACAATAGTGGATTCTTGGTAACACAGTAATGAACCATCATCTAGTACATACATAAAAGTAACTTTTCTATTGTGTTTGTATATTTCCCGTTTCCTGCTACAAACCTAACAGGGAACACCCAATGATACCACAAAATTTACTCTGCACTGTTGCGAATATGTACGGTAGCCATGGTTGTTACTGCAATGTCCAAGTGTTTGGGCAGGGTTTTTGCATGAGATCTGAAACATCAGTCCTTATCTTCTTTCAACCATATGAGTAAACTACAATTTATTAATATGACTGCTGTTCCTGCTTTACAGTTTTAGCCACTACAAGGGTCAGTCAAAAAGTTCCCGAAATGGTGGTATAGCACTCCAATGGTAGGACCCTTGCGCAGGCACACACACTTGCTCCATCAATCCTGCCATTGTTGGAAGCAGCGATGGAAGGCTTCTTTTGGAATCTTCCGGAGCTCAGCCATCGCATTTGATTTCATGTCCTCCATGGTTGCGAAACATGTCCCCTTGAGGCCCATTTTCAGAGTAGGGAACAGCCAAAAGACACTCGGAGCGAGATCCGGAGAGTACAGTGGTTGAGTGATGACAGGGATGTTTTCCTCGGCAAGGAATTGCTGCACAACAAGCGATGTGTGGCTCAGTGCATTATCGTGATGCAGAAACCACTGTCCCTGCCACTTGTCGTGCCGCTTCCTCTGAACCGCACCACACAACCTCTGCAAAACAGTACAGTACCAACTTCTTGCTCCAACTCCACGATGATCATTCTTCGATTACATCAAATCAGTTGTCACTTTTCCAATCATTTCTTCGGTTCCGGATGTCGAAGGTCTCCGGCTGAGCTGGTCATCCTCTAACGTCTCCTGCCCATTCTTAAACTGTGGATTTCTTTAGTGCAGTATCACCATAAACTTGCTGACGGGTCAATAGCATCTCTGAAGCAGATTTTCCCAATTTGCACATGAATTTGATGTTCGCACACTGTTCGAACTGTGACATTGCACTCAATGGCCAACACTCACATCTAATTCAAACGGAACAGTAACGACACTGCACACTGAAACCTGCCCAGACATGTTGTGCCTGCGAGCATACATGCTGAGCTTCCCACCACAACAGTGTGTGCACTATCTTATCGCTTGTTCTCCATCTGCGGGGGAATTCCGGGAACTTCTTGACTACCCTACATATAAACTGTGATGCTGGCATGGAAAGCAAACACGTCCTGGGTGAAAAATGGATAATTCTCCTTGTTCAGTATAAAATGTGGGAAATTTCTTGACTGGCTAAGAGACTATCAGTTTGTCAAAAATAGGTTTGTTTCAAGAAGTCAGTTACACGACACTGAATTCTGAAACAGAAGTTTTAACTCTTCTACACCAAAACTGTTTGAAGGACCAAGTTGCAGAATTAACATCAGCCTAGTGGTGACCCAGCAGCTGTAGTGCTTGTTTAGAGAGTTACCACAGTTGGTTATTTTCTGTTTCACAGTGTCTAACATGTCTAACACAGGTATCAGAATTGCCTTACTGTCACAAGCAAAAATAAAAAAGGCTATGACTGTCTTTATATTTTGACTTGAATATCAGAAGTAGCTGAAAGACTTCAAACCTTAAAGGTAAAGGTCAGGTTATCTCTGTGCTTAAGTAATTAAGCACTATGCCATGAAAACATATGGGCACATCTAGTTATAGTGTCACCGTTCTTGACCTCAGCACTAGATGGAAGTGAGTGGACAGATTCAAACCCTGGCCACTTTACCTCTGGGGAAAGCACCCCCATTACCCATTGGATAGAAGGCTGCGTGGGCCAAAGACTGGTCTGGATGCTGGGGGGAAGAGAAAAAACTTTTACCATACTGAGAATCAAACCCAGGCCAGACTCTAAACCTAAGACACAATCTAACAGCTTCTGGATTCTCAGAGCAATGGCTCTTAAAATTTTAGATTTCCTGAATGTGGCATCATGTAGTTTGGTACACAGGTACCAACATGTCACAGAAACCTGCCATCTGAAAATGGGAGTAAGCTGATGTGTTCTGATGAAACTACATGATGTCACATTCAATATGACCATAATTTTGTCACTGCTGTCAAAACCTTAAGCCTAATACGAGTATACTAGAAGCCGAAGTTAATTTACCGTTCATTTGTAACATTCTACTACAAACATAGAAAACATACGTAAATGTCACTCATCAATCCCGACCATATTCCATTTGCTACAGACAAAACAGAAACAAAAATGGCTGTGGTTAGGTTTGCTCACCTGGGTGTAGTGAATGTGGCATACACCATATCCTCTGACTCCACATATGCCATTCCCTGTATCTCATCAAAGTAGAATGGATACTCCCCTGGGATAGAACAGTTGAGGCGTGCCTTCACAAAAGTGGTCCAATTGTCCCTCAACATCAGCTGTCCACCACTGTCATTCTTACAAATGCGAGCAATGCGGGAGTATATGATCTGTAACATCACATGTTCCCAACTCCATTCCACATACAGTATCTCAGTCAGAACTGGTAGCTATGTTGCTATTCAGGCCTGTACCTTTCATCTCCAGATCACACATGACTACAAGGGAGAGTCAGTAAATCGGTCACATATGGATATAAAATGTAAACTATGTAATATTGGAACCTGGAAAAAACATTTATTTCTTGAAATATCCTCCACCAACACTGATAGAGTTATCCCACTGCATTACCAGTGAGTCAAAACCCACAGCATAGAAGTCTTTTAACTGCCGTTTTAGCCATTTCCGCACCTCCATTTCAGCCTCTTTGTCATCAGCCAAAAGTCTACCCCATTTCTCAACCCACTTGCGAACCACTTGACACAACAAACACTTCCCATCATAAACAGGAAACATTTCTTTATGAATATCCTTTTACCTACAAAAAATGGCACAACAGAACGCTGTTCTTGGGTAGTGCACTCAACCAGCCTCTGAACATGCACATGCATGTCTGCTACATAGACTGTCCTGAAGCTGGACTGCATTGCTACCTAGTGTTACCAGAGAAAACCTGATACATCCATTTGTGACTTATTTACTGACTCTCCCTTGTACAATTTGACCAACTGTTTTGTATGAAGTAAACTCATTCCCTCACTGCAACAGGGGAACATCAAATGAGAATTCCTGATGTAGTCTTCTGGGTTACATTAGAATGTAGTCTGGTAGACGGACACCAGTGCTACTGCAGAACTGCCTTTGAAACACTGGTGGAAAACTACAAAACTAGACAGTGTTATAAGCCAGGAGACCACAATATGAATCTTCACCAAGTGATGGCCTCAGATCATGTATATAAGTAGACTGAGGGTGATGGGAACAGGGTGGTGAGTGGAATGTTTGGAGCTTGGGGATAGAAACAGTATAGTGACGATCTTCATAATTTGTACTCTGCACCAGATATCCTTCAGGCAATCAAGAACAAAGAAGCAGCATGCATGCAGAACACATGCAAGAGTGATTCATCTGGCTTGGGACATAGTCCAGGGGCAAGTTATCCCCTGAGGAACTGAATTTTGAATGCACTACAGCTATGCTACATGTTCCACCAACATATGGTCTGCAAGTCCCGATGTAGGTACTGGAATGTGCGGGACCAGCAGTGCCAGACTTCACCTTGCTGATGCGGCAATTTCTCTGCCAGCTATGCATGTCATATAACATAATCATGTAGGCGTATGCCTTGTGTTTCTGCTCTTAATTTGCATACCTGACGCACACGTGGCCCCAATGATTCTCATTATGATCTTAGACAATGACAGAACCCCCCCCCACCAGTGCCCAATTGCTCGCCCTTCTGTCCTTAATTAACAGCCTTCTCTCTGGTCACTGGCCCTTGAACTATGTGTTTAATGAAGTCCATGGAATAGGGTCATCCTTAACAAGCTAATAGTCGCTTAGCTGCTCAAGCAATTTCCGTCTTCTATGGGTTCCGCAATCGAACCATATCCTGAGTCAATCCAGCCTATAACCTCACAGCCTGTTTCCTTAATGTCAATTTTAATATTATCCTCTCATCAACATCTAGATCTCGCGGGTGGTATTTACCTTTCAGGTCTTCTGGCTAAGCTGTTGTACGAATTTCTTAGTATTGCCACGCATGCTACATGCCCTGCACATCCCACTGCCCTTGATTTGATGACCATAATAATAACTGGGGAAGAGTACAAGTTGTGAAGCGTCCTCTTTTACGCAGTCTGGTGCATCCTTCTGTTAATTCAGTTCCAAATCTGTAAATCCAACACCAACGCACATAGTGCATCTTGCTCACCCTCAAGGGGAAATTGTTGGGGTGAATGCTGAAAGTGAAACTGTTTTGAATCACCAACAGCAATTACAGAGCTCTGCTGAAGCATTATTAAGAATTGTATTCCCAACTACGTTTCTTTTGGCCGGTCAACGTCATTGCCCCTTCCTTTATTGCTATAAATAAAAGTTCTGCTAGAAGAAACGTGTGCATTTGTTTACTGCGAGAATCATATGCAACACGTCTGTAAGAAAAACTCCCAGATTTATTAACTTTAACGTAGAGATTACGTATATATAGTGACCACTGTACGTGTGGGGTTGGAGTCCAGCTGGGTCCACTCGGCACGGCGGCCATTGATTGGCCTATTGTACCTGCTCCGGGTGATTATGATACTGGAGAATTTTGTGGAATGAAAATTTGCAGGGGAAACCGAAGTACTCGGAGAAAACCCGCCCTGCGCCCCTTTGTCCACCACAAATCCCACTTGACCAGACCCGGGATCGAACCCGGACCGCCACGGTGGGAAGCCAGCGACTAACCGCTTAAGCTATGGCGCGGCGTTTACATTTGAGGTTAATACAAGGATGTGTTCAGAAGATGAAACTGCGTGTCGGTGGCATACTGACACGGCTCGAAACGTCGGCTGCTGGCAGGGGAGTTACATACAATATAGCTAACCCCCCGTACATTTTACAGACTACTGTGATATCTCCTGCACAGATCTGGGTGCTTACCGTACCAGCATCGCGTGACTTACCTTACCACAGTTGATATACTCAACGGCGCTCTCCCGGAACAGGAAATAGACAAAGTCGGAAGTCTCGAAAGAGCCGACGAATTGGGGCTCGTTAAGCCATTTGCTGTCGAACTGCTTCGTCCGGAGAGTGGAGCCGGAAACTCCGGTCAGACTCCGGGATATAGCTGGGTCAGCTCCGGAGAAATCCATGGGACTTCCGACGAAATAATGTCCCGAGCGAGTCAGCAGTGCAGTCACGTTGGCTTCGGGACTGTAGGGGCAGCGGGCAACCCCTCGCACCAACTCTAGCACGTTGTTGACATTCTCGATCTGTCACCAAAACAACTCACTTACAGTAAACCCTCGCTAATCTAGTTACATTTAATCCGGATGTCGGATAATCCGGATCGAATTATAAAAAAGTCTATTCACAGTTGAGTACGTACTTTAAAAGACAAATGACATATAAGAGCAAGAGGACTTTCAGACTCTGTTAAGGCCAGCTGGAGGGACTGAAACCACGCAAGAAAATATCCAAGTCTGGCGTGAGCTGGGTGAAGAAAATCCTGGATTTCAGTTTCTGTCAGAGGAAGGAACGGATGTAGTGATATTTTGTATTTATTTTCATCAGCATTGTCTGTATTATTAAATTATTCATTATTTGTTTTCTAAGTTCTTTCTTTTAGGGCTATCTTTTGCTTCGCTGATCCGGATTATAGCTTAATTTGGATTATCGAAGGTTTACTGTAATCCATAATTCTGGAAGAAATAATATTTCCGGGCATAAAACACGAGGACACGAAATTTTCATATGGTGTGGATGAAAATACAATAAAATCCAAAATAAAATAATTATATCTCAGAAAGCTTATATTATGCACATTTATGGCTTACACCACTATAAAGGAAAACTATCAACGGTTTTTTTTTTCTGAGTATATAACTTTCTCAATAAATTTCAGTGTGGGCTCCCTTGGTGGCACGACAAATATCCAGACGATTCAGCATGTTTGGTGTTACCATAGCCACAGCGTCCCTTATGCGGGCTTTCAGGTGTTGCAGGTCGTTGATCTTAACCTGGTAAACAATGTTCTTCACAAAACTCCACAAGGAAAAGTTCAGTGGGGTTAAATCTGGCGACCTAGGGGGCCAAGTGATTGATCCACTTCTGCCGATCTATCTCCCAGCCATCACTCTATCCAAGTGATTCCTAACATGGTGGCAGAAATGTGGTGGCGCATGCGCGTAAGCCAGGCATGGAAAAAAAAACTACAGGGTTTTATTTTCCGATGACATAAACCGGATACGTGTGTGACAATTACTTTACTTTACTTATATATGCGTTTACGATCCGTCACCCTGTATCCCTCCGCCGCTCTAAGGAAAACGCATTTTGAGGTCTCCGTTCTTCCCTTCAGGCCAGATATTCAGATCAGTACGAAAGCTGTTACTGCACACAAGGGTACCAGTTCGCTTCTCTCACACTACCTCTCGTCTCTAACACACTTCACGGCGGTCTAACTAAGTCTACATCATCTGTGAGAGTGCGCATGTCTAGAGCAGACAACCTTAATGTCCGGTATGGCGATTTTGGGTCTCATCGTATGTGAGTATCCACGTCACGGCCTGTTACGTGGACCGCGGCGGTTCACTCACCTTCCTCCAGGAGCACTGTGGCGAGAAGGCGTTTGTGCCACACGTGAAGATCCTCTTGCCGCTTGCCAGGAGCACCTTGACGAAGTTGTGGCAACTCGTCTCGGCCTGACCCTTGTTCTGACACAGCTCCACCTTCTCGGGTGGCGCCAGCCATGGCGCCTTCTCCAACTGCGTCAGCTCCATCAAAGACAGACGGTACAGCGTGTCCCTGGGAACAGGTGGGGAGCTCCTGTCATTCGCTGGGAACAGCAGAGGGGAGAAGGGGATATGTTCGGGTGAACGTGACTTGTGGTTGTCTGTATGCCACTGAAGATGATTACTATCTTCTGAAACGTGACACTGTGCAGTCTGGTACAATATCGACGTTTCAGAAGAACATTCTGCTTCCATTTTCAGGGCCGAACAGTAAGCCGAGAAAGCAGCAAACGAATCTCATTCCGAAACCCTATAGACGGAGTCAGTACGTGTCCTTGAAATGTCAGTAAACTTATACCAGATTATACGGCGTCACAAACGGTGCTCTTCATATATCAGTCAGAACATGAAATCCCACAGAAATTTAAAAGTATGGCGAACTTCGTTCGTTCCCCTCAGACTGAAACACTGGCTGAACTGGAAACACGTGTAGTTCATGAAGCTTGTTCCAATGTTTTATGTGTTTTATTTTGTACGTCCATGCTTAACATGCAGCCACTTATGTGAGGAACCCATACAGTTGTGTGTAAGCTATAAATCTCTGTTGTCAATAGTAAACTTTTTCCTTGCCAGCCAGAGACTTGTAAGGCGGTGTTAACACTGTCGCACTTGCCGTAAACGTTTGAGTGATGTTTTCCTGGGAGGCTGGTGTCAGACACACTGTTAACAGGAAACCTACAATATGTACCAGTATGGTCTTCTTTATACCGTTTAAAGTTAAACTGTACATGATTATCAGATGTATTCTTCGGGTGCTTCAGAGAACTGCGCATGAGTCCAGATCTCCGTTGCGTCTCGTTCCACAGATACAAATTTATAAGCAAAAATATTACTTGGAAAAGGCGTTGCCCCATTCTTCTGCGTCTCCACCCATCACAAACAACACTGCAAAGTGCTTCATAATGCCCAGGCTCACTTGCCGCAGTCCCGCAACGTCGCTGTGTTACAGGCTATTATCAGCCTATCATCTAAAAATGTTGCAAATTGCTCTCCTTCAGGGGCAGCCTCGAGCATAATCAGTAATATAGCTCTGTGCACAAGAGGTTACCACTATGACGAAGATTCTTACTGTGCTGTTCTGAGTTATGCCATCGTGCTGTCTGGTAGGCGGTTACGAATGTTTCAGAGGAACAGACTTGACTCTTGACTACACCGGGTCACGAAGCAGAAAAACAGAATAGGCCGGTGTAGCGGTAACGCTCCGAACTTATATCCGGCAAGTGCTCGGTTCGATGTCAGCTGGAATGACGGCTATCTCGAGGATTTTCGTGGTCTTCCTCAGTCCTTCTGGGAAATTTGAAGGAGTGCCTCAATTACGTCACGACCGGTTACTTCAAACTCCTTCCCAATATAGCATTCATGAACAATGCTCTGGACAGAGGCTGCTGTAAAGGCAGCCCAGAATTCGTCTGCAGAGACTGCACACAACAGAAGATGGAGGATAGTCCCGCCGTGATTCGAACCGTGCACCTCCCGTCTACTAGTCCAGACTGTTTCCGCTACACTAATGTGCTTGATCAGAATTAAATCAATCTGTTACAGGCAAGAAAGTTACCACACGAGCATTACCAGTGTCTGTCCAACCTGTGGCACGTGCAGGGTTAATTTTCGTAAGCAAATCGAATCCGTGCCGGACGTAGGATTTAAATAATTGAATTCTGACACGCGTGACATCTGCTGCATAGGCTACAAAACACTTGAAACGCGTTGCTGTGGAAACACAAGTAAGAAGAAACAAGACAAGAACAAAGAGGATAATGACCAGCGAGTCAAAACGTACAGCAGGGCGCGTAGGTGTGCTAAGTCAGAACATATCTCGCAAAGGGCGTAACTGGAATTGGCTGGAACCTTGAAATCGTATCATTTGCTGCGCCGTCGTAAATATGCGGCCATTCCTTTTACTGTACCAACTTCATATTGCTAAAATTCCTCAGCGATTTCCTGCAGGTGTGAGTACATGAGAACATGCAGCCTGCAACACGTCGTTCCAATATTCAAATTAGGGTCAGGCACACACATACACATACACACATATAACCACTTTCTCCAAAGATCGTTCCCAATTTCTAAACATGCAGGTCGCTTGGCGCCCGATGCAACAAAATTTTCCCACTCGGCGCTGCTGGAACCGCTCGAATTACGGCACTAATACCCATTTGACTGAACAGGTGGTGTGAAATCGAGTCACCGGTTCATTGCCCACAGACGACACGAGAAGATTCAACACAGTGCACTATACAACAGTTGCCGCGCGCCGCCAACAGATGGCAGCAGCGTGACATTAAACACCGTGTTCGTGTTATTTGCTTCGATTTCTGTCGCTCTTGTACGTTTTCACTAAACGTTACATAACAATTGGCCACTGAAACCGAGAGCGATATTTGACCCAAAGCATTCTATAAAAAAATATCAAGTGATGTAAAGGGCATAAAGAATGCATGGGAAAAATGACAGACGCAAACATTTGGTGGGAAAGTATGACGAAAAGAGGCCACTCGGAAGACCAGTGAGTAAATGGAACAGTATTGAGATCTGTCTTCAACAGGGTGTGGGATAGAGGCCAGTCCGCATGGTAATGAATGTTCCGGCCTGCTGAGCGACTAGCGGATTCTGAAGGACTTTGCAACACAGTTGTACTGACATCGATAACTCATAATGACTGTAGCAACTGGCGTCACGCGGAGGGTACGACTAGGTCTGGTCGGGCGTCGGGCGTCGCACACATCATCTTGACCATCTTGACATTCCCAAGTGACGTACACAAGATGTCGTTAATAACCCCTTAAAGCACAGTGCAACTATTATATACCAACTGCCTTAACATAAAAGAGAGAATGCATTCTGCCTACGCAGTGTATTTGTTGTGTTCCGTATGGTTCTCACGGTAAACAGCGATTATTTCCCTAAACAGCATTAATCGGTTGTGTTTGTAGTGGAGAAGTAATGTGTTTCCTATGAGGTACGAACTGAATTTATATATACTGCATTCTGCCCACGCAGTGTATTTGTGTGTTTCGTATGGTTCTCACAGTAAACAGCGATTATTTCCCAGAACAACACGTCTCTGCTAGACCAGCCGATCAGTCAACCCAGTGTGGATATCGCTCCCATCTGGACCCCTGTCATCACAGCAGAAGTCAAGAGACTACAGTGCCGTCAAGTGTAGTTTGAGTGGGTAACTATTTGTTTCCTGTGTTGGTACCACAAGGAGTATTGCTTCTCTCCAGGTATGATTTCATTCAAGATACTTCTCTGGTGCAAGACCTCATATGTGTGTAGCTTCATTATTTCTTAGCTCTCACAGTTGGTTTGTGTTGTACTTGGATTATGAACCCCTTCTGAAACTGGCATAGTAGTCCGGAGAGAGGGGCTAGCTCTGTCTATTGGGCCCAATTGAGTAGGTTTTACCTAAGGACGGGCACAGAATCCAGTCCAACAGGACGGCTTTTAAGAATAGACAAGATGATGGATAATGTCCAACAACATATTAATTGTAACATTAACCGGTTGGGCTTTGTAGCAGAGCCGTAATGTGTTTCCTGTGAGGTACGGACTGAATTCTATATATACTGCATTCTGCCCACACAGTGTATTTATGTGTTCCGTATGATTCTCACAAGAAATAGAGATTATTTCCCTAAACATCATTAACCGGTTGGGCTTTGTAGGGGAGACGTAATGTGTTTCCTGTGAGGTACGGACTGAATTATATATATACTGCATTCTGTCCACACAGTGTATTTACGTGTTCCGTATGGTTCTCACAATAAACAGCGATTATTTTCTTAAACAGCATTAACCGGTTGGGCTTTGCAGCGGAGACGTAATGTGTTTCCTGCGAAGTACGAACTGAATTTATATATACTGTATTCTGCCCACAAAGTGTATTTGTGTGTTCCGGATGATCCTCACAGTAAACAGCGATTATTTCCCTAAACAACATTAACTGGTTGGGCTTTGTACCTGAGACGTAATGTTTTTCCTGTGAGGTACGAACTGAATTTCTGAATATTATTCAGATCAACTTCGGGTTTCAGAAAATTCCGATCGTGCGCAATAAAGACCATGCTCAACTTCTTTCCTCTGCTCATAACAAAGTTTACTTCCTAACCCTTTGCGTTCCTCACTTCCCAAAGCTTTACCCTCTCCCAAAAGCACGCCGACCAGAAGGAAGGCTTTAAGATATGAGACGGAAAATAGCTTGGGAGCCGCTAGAATTTTTTCCAAGGGTGGGGGAAGCAATCTTCCAGGGGAAGCAACCAGGAAATGGGCTTATAAACTTAAGTTTAAACACTTTGTGGCTGTTTTTACTGAAGGCCCTAGAATGTTCAGGGAAAAATATGTTTTAAATACCTTTTAATTCCGGGCATGCTTACTTCGTTCTTTTTCGATTTTGATTTATTTAAAAAATACAGATTCCTGCATTTTTGGTTTAGTTATTTGTTTCTGTTTCTTTATTGCGTTCATGTCTGGGTCGACGAGGCTAACATGCTGAAGCCGATTAAACCTGTAATGCAATCAATCGCCAGAGCTAGTAAATTTATTACACGTCTTTTCATATCTACACTCGATTTAATGTACTCGTAGTTATGAATGCTGCGGTCTTCATGTGAAGTGTCCGTTATTGTCGTCTGATTTTAACCAAAATCGGCATATCGAAACAAAGTTTGATAGAACACTCCAATATCAAATTTCGTGAAAATCAGTTCAGTGGCTATCCAGTAATTACGTCTCATCGCGGCGGCCTGGGTTCGATTCCATGTCAGGTAACGTGGGATTTGTGACGGGGAGAGGTTTTCTCTGAGTACTTCGGTTTCCCCTTACAATTCTCAATCCACCGTCTCCTCCATATCCAGTAATCATTCTATCATGGGCGCAATATAACCTCAATGCTCTCGGCGTCGTTATATAACAAACTACGAAGCAAGGAAGACAGACAGACTTGGTGTACGTGTTAGGTGTATTTTTTCAAATTCTCTCTACGAATAACGCAACACGCAGTTTCTATTCCAC